CTGGTGGAGAGGGGGGCTGAAAACAGCAGGATTACTCATTATTATTAATGATATGCACACACCTTGCTTCTAATTGGCTAACAGAACACGTTCAGCCATGTTTCACTATCACCAAAACTCGCTCCGCTCTCTCTCCTCGCTGCCTTATTTTTTTAAGCCTTCCTGTGGGTAGGAATGAGCCAAGATGGGCAAGGCCATTAATGCAAACTGACAGTGTGACATCGATTTCACCATCTATTTTCTATCAGAAGCTAAAGCAGGAGTATTGGAGACTGTTTTCATGTTCAGCCTGCATGAAAAACTCAGAGTAACTCATTTTAATTACAAATAATAAAAATATTGGTTTTTCAGTCAACCACATGTTTAAATTTCATCACTTTGACTGTAATGGCTATAAAATAAAAGTAGATGCCAACTTCTCAATGACTCCTCAGATAAATTCAGTGATGAGGTCGTGTTTTTATCAGTTACGCCGCCGATCTTAAAGTGGAAGCACTTGGAATCAGTCATCCACGCTTTCGTCGCCTCTCGCTTGGACTACGCTAATGCACTATTAGTTAGAACTCCTGTCTCTGCCCTGAACCAGTTGCAGGTTGTCCAAAATGCCGCTATTAGGTTTTTAACAAAAACAAGCCGACATAGCCATATTACACCAGTCCTGTAACGTCTTCACTGGCTCCCCATCACATTTCGTGTGCGTTTTAAGATATTGATGTTTGTTTATAAAGCCCTACATGACCTAGCTCCGCCTTATCTGTCCAACCTGTTGACTCCCTCTGTACCTACTCGTATGTTGAGGTCAGCTGACTGTCTACTGCTTTACACTCCCCGGAAGTCCTACAAATCACGAGGTGAACGTGCGTTTATCCATGCTGCCCCCATGCTCTGGAACTCATTGCCCATTACAGTTAGGCTGGCATCCTCTCTGCCTGTTTTTACAAAACCTACTTTTATGACTTGGCTTTTAGACAGTGATTCATGTCATCGTATTATGATTTTATAGTTTTTATTGTTGTGTTTTATCATCTTATTGTTTTTTTCTTTTTTGTTCTAATTGATCCTGCCTGTTCAGCACTTTGGTCAGCTCTCACGCTGTGCCTTAAATTGTGCCATGACAACTTGTGCCCTTTAGCCACGAGACCAGCTAGATCCTCTCTGTCGCACCCTTGGCTAAATGATACCCTCCGGGCTCTACGCACCAATCTTAGAGCTGCGGAACGGAAATGGCACAAAATAAAAGATCCTGGTGATCAATTGAAATTTCATGAATTACTGTCCTCATTCTCTGCCAGCATCACTGATGCAAAGAAAGCTTTCTACACTGACAAAATTCTCAGCTCTACTGACTCTCAGAAACTATTTTCGACATTCAAAACTCTGCTCAACCCTCCATCTCCACCTCCTACCAACAACCTATCAGCTGACACCTTTGCCTCATTCTTCACTGACAAAGTGGCAGCGATAAGAAAACAGTTTACTCAACTGGCCACTCCTGAACATTCGCTACCACAAACTCTTTCTAGCCCAACCATCTCAAGCCCTGCTGCTTCATTTTCTTCTTTTTCCCCTCTCACTGAGAACTGTGTGTCCAAGCTTCTCACGTGCAGCTGCCCTACTGCATGCCCACTTGACCCCATTCCGACTAAGCTGCTCCAAGCTATTGCTCCTACAGTAGCCACAGCAGTCACACGGGATCAACGCTTGACTGACATCCGGTACATTTCCCACCTCTCTCAAGCATGCTCAGGTTAAACCGCTGCTAAAAAAAACCCATCTCTTCCTCCAAATCATGTGGAGAACCACTGACCTATCTCTCTCCTCCCTCTTCTGTCCAAAATCATTGAAAGGGTGGCTTTCAAGCAGATCACAGAATGTCTCTCACAAAACTGTCTGCTTGACCCTTACCAATCTGGGTTCAGAAAGGGCCACTCCACTGAAACTGCTCTGTTAGCAGTGACGGAATCCTTAAAAGATGCTAGAGCGACTGCCAAATCCTCAGTGCTTATCCTGCTCGACTTATCGGCAGCATTAGACACGGTCAACCATGGCTTCCTCTTGTCCACACTCTCTAGCATGGGCATCACAGAGAAAGCACACGCCTGGTTTGAATCGTACCTCACAGGATGATCATTCAGTGTATCTTGACTTGGACAATCTTCTAACGTGCACCATCTTGCCACAGGAGTCCCCCAGGGCTCTGTACTAGGGCCTCTTCTCTTTGTCATATACACCACCTCACTGGGTGAGATCATGCGATCACATGGCTTCTCCTACCACTGGTATGCAGACGACACCCAGCTCTATCTGTCATTTCCACCGGACGACCACACTGTCACTGCACGAATATCAAACTGTCTCTCTGACATATCAAAATGGATGAAATCCCACCATCTCCAACTCAACCTCTCTAAAACTGAACTATTGTCATCCCAGCAAAACCATCCATACAGCACAATATCTCAATCCAAAATGACTTCCTATCTCTGGCTCCTTCAAAGGTAGTTGGAAATCTGGGTGTTGTGATTGATGAACACCTGATCTTTAAAGATCATGTTGCCTCTGTTGCTTGTTAATGCCGCTTTGCGCTGTATAATATACGAAAGATCAGACCATACCTAACACAACATGCCACCCAGCTCCTGGTGCAATCTACTGTCATCTCCCGCCTCGATTACTGCAATGCCCTTCTAACTGGTCTTCCAGGCTGTACTGTGAGACCTCTTCAAATGGTCCAGAACGCAGCGGCGCGTCTGGTCTTCAGTCAGCCAAAAAGAGCACACGTCACCCCTCTGTTCATTGAGCTCCACTGGCTACCGCTAGCAGCACGCATCAAATTCAAATTGCTAACACTAGCATACAAAGTCCGAGACGGTACGGCTCCCATCTACCTGAATCCTCTTGCAAAGGCTTACGTCTCTGCCCGGCCGCTCCGGTCATCACAGGATCGTCGGCTAGCAGTGCCTACACCACGCTCAGGACAATCCAGACTCTTCTCATGCATCGTTCCACAAATGTGGAATGACCTTCCAAGCACTACCAGAACAGGGGCTTCCTTCTCAATTTTCAAGAAACTCCTGAAGACCCTGCTCTTCAGAGAGCATCTTCTGTTGTTGTTAGCCTCAAGGGCAACATGCCGATTATCACTTGTAAGTCGCTTTGGACAAAAGCGTCTGCTAAATACATAAACATATACATAAATAAAGTTGTTACGGTATGGTATGGTATGGTATGGTATGGTATAGTTCCTTAACGTGTGTCGTAGCTGTGAAGAAAGAAGGAACAAGTTTATCGCTGAGTTTGAGTCATGAGGTCCCTTCTAAACAGCGTCATTGGGTGATGCTGCCACAGAAACCTGAACTTCACAGAAAACAATAAATGTACATGGCATGCCTTTTTCTGACTATATTTCAAAAATAAGGATTCAGTCTGTCAACGTTTCACTTTCTCATTGCCAAGGTTAGCGCCCTGCCAGAAAAAAACATAATATTGACTGCAATGGTCTTGCAATAGTAGGTTGTGTATTATAATTAAACACGGGTCCACTGTTTCAGCTCATATTTTAGATTCAAGTCCTTCTCCACTTGTCTCAATGCCACTGTGGGTTCTTTCATCACAGTTAAGTTTCCAGAGCCACCTTTGTCCTGGAGGATTCATACCAGTGCCTGGGTTTTTGGTTGTATTGTTGCACCAGTAACACTTTATCATTAGGTTTTTATTGTGACAATTCTATTATCCTCCCACATCCCTGTAGCCTATTTCTGACCAAACAACTATCTATCTGGTCTTTGTTGGGTTTCAAATGAAGGTAGTCAATGGAGACTAACTCAAAAGGAGAGCGGATAGGTATTAAGCTCATTGGTGTTTTATCAAGACCACATGGCTGTTTCTGTTTTCACATAATCTTCCATCTTCTTCTTCATGGATGACCCGAAGATCATCTTTGTCCCCAGAAGAGTAACTTTGTCTGTACCAGCATGTCCCGTGCAACACATACGTGCTTTAGCGCGACAGGTTCAGCATAGAGAAAAATAAACGACTGTGGCCAGCACATCTGCAGTTTTGGCCAGTTTTAGTTTATTCAAGTCATGAACTAGTTTTCTTGTCTCAAAGGACTTGAGTCTTTTTTTTCCATGTCATTTGGGTTCCGTTCTTTTTCTGTGTGATGACCTGATTGATAGCCATGTCGTTTTGTTGAGCAGGTCAAATGTCATCTAGGGTGAAAACAGGTAAAGAACCGCGTGGCCAGTGTGTGTTCTTGCAGACACACAGAGGACTTCATTTGCAGTAAGAGAAAATCTAATTATTCCCTTAGTCAAACCAAGCTAGCCTACTCTTAATTAAGCTAATGTCTTGAGATAGTGCTGTTAAAAAATAATTGTTCTGCACATAAAGGACATCCCAACTTAGACTGACTATGACCGGCTTTGACATTCTGCCTTCTCAAAGTGACACGACCGCTGAAGCGGTCGTCTGATGATATCATTGCAACAAGATTCTGTGTGAATCTGATGTGCAGCACCGATAGTACAGCATACCGTACATACAGCACATACCAACTGCAATGTGCTGCAACCTTGTTGTTCATTCTTTTAGCTATTGTGTCTATAAAGTTTGTTGACTATAGAATTTTTTGAAAACGGAAGACATCTTATTTTTCATCATGCTGGTCACAGCTGTTTCCCCAGGCTTTGGCTGTTCAAAGGGTTATGTAACACCACCCATCCATTCATTATAGTCCACTAGGGTAGGATCACGGGGGGGGGGGGGGGGCAGTAGCCTAAGCAGGGAGGCCCAGACTTTCCTCTCCCCAGTCACTTGGGCCAGCTTCTCCAGGGGAATCCTAAGGCGTTCCCTGGCCAGCTGAGACAAATAGTCCTTCCAGCATGTCTTGGGTCTTCTTTTGGGTCTCATCCTGGCTGGACACGCCCAGAAAAATCTCACCGGGGAGGCGTCCAGGAGGCATTGTAACCAGATGCCTCCTGGACGCCTCCCACCTCACCTGGCACCTCTCGATGTGGAGGAGCAGCAGATTTACTCCAAGCCTCCTAAGATATGTATTACTAATCACCTTCACACATAAACCAACATCAAAACAACCCCTTTAACATTTAACATGTATTTTTCTCTCATGCTTGTGTTCAAGTGTGTTAAGGTGCGTAGTTTAGTCTAGGGGAGGAGGGGAGTCGAGCCTTTGTCGTTTAATTTCCATAATCCAGTTCGCCTAAGCTTTTGACTGCAGGATAAACATGTTTCAGCAACAGACGACAGTGGTCTGATTTCTGACTCACTGGTTTTAAAGTGCATTAGGCGGGGCATCACAATACTCAGGTTTTCACAGCCAGTTTATGAATCGAGAGGCCTGTGATGCAACTATTGACTACGGAGCGTTTTATGGGTTAGGCCCCTTTGAAGATGAGGGTGTAAATACTTGTTGAGTGAGTTCACAGGGAGCGTGCCATGTAGTATTTCTCACATGGTTTATATGTGTCACATCAAATAAAAACATCAAAAAATGGAGAAAAAAAGAGAAATGATGAATATTTAATCAATTACAGTTTGCACTATCGTATACAACTCTCTTTTTAGAGATTGGATCAAATTTGATCCTTAGTTCATGACAATTTGATTTTCATGAGAAACAAGCAGAGACAAATAAAAATGTACCCAAATTACTAAATATATACCAATCCATCAAATCACCCTACCCCTAAACCTGAAATTCTAAACCTTAGGGTTGCACAGGAACACCTGGCCTCGCTCTTTGACCCTTAATGGGGATGGACCAACACCTATTAGGTACTCCTTAGTGGCATACGGTAGTCCAAACATTGGTGACATGGAACAAAGAACAAAGTAGATATATGTTTTTAAGAATATCAACCTTGGAACACTATCCTGTACAATACTGCAGCAGAAATAGAGGAATAAAAAGGCCAATTAGACCAAGTTGGGTCACGACTCTTGAAACAAGTTGGTAGTCAATAAGGAGACAAGAGCTGCGGATGACGAGCGTTGGCCCGTGCATTGCCTTTGGCTGCCCAGTTCAACTGCCGAGTCATTGGATGAGGCAGGGGGAGTCGACGAGATAAATAATTTACACCAAAGAAAACCCATTTGATGCACGAGGAGAACATACTGACCACACGTAAAGGCTGCAGCCATCATTCAGACCTGCAACCTTCTCGTGCTGCCAGCTGCACCGCCATGCAGCCCTAACCCTAACCCAACATGGCATAAAATAAATTATGGATGAGGTAAATAAGAGTCAGATCAAATAAAATCATAAAAAGTTCTGAAGAAAACAATAAATGTTCCTAAAATTGTGCCTTGGACCTAAAAAAAGAAAAACTTTACATTTTCTCTTACCTTAACGTCCAGCTTCTCTAACTCACCGCTGATGCCTTTCATCGTCACAAGCTCTGTAATTGAAAGAATCCATTCATAACTCTGGCCTAGAGCGTTGAAGATCACGTTTGCTAAATCACTTAGAATATGTCCGAGTCTCATGAGGCGCTAATTAACCTGAGGTCAGAACCTGAGGTCACAGGTCAGTGTCGGTGAGGGACTGCGTGCTCTGATAACCATGTGGGTGTGTGTTTGTATTTGTGCTTATGAGGATGCGTGTGTGGCCATCAGTGGGTCCAATGGGATAGTTGTGACAGGTTCACAATGAAAGGTACACACAGATAAGGCAGTGTGGGGGCAAGGAATGTGTCTTTAACCTAGAGTTCCCAAACACACCTGGGGATGTTCTTGAAAGGGATAAAAGCACTCAGAGCATCTACAGCAAATGTGATTATTTAAAGGCTTGACTCGTGGGATTGGTGGAGATTTTAGTTGGGATTCTTGAAGCAAATGCACTCCTGAGTGTTTCTTTAGATGCAGAAAGACAAAAACAGGATGCAGATGCGTTAAACGGGGGCTAAAGGTTGTCTGCTGAATGCAAACAGACAGGCTGTAGTTTTAAAGATTAAGATAAAAACAAATAGAAGAATTTATGCAAATATATTTAGCTTTATGGAGCTTTATGGCATCTTTCTGTAAAATGATTTGATTTTCCAACATCTGTTTCAGAGTTAATTTTTCCTAATCTTGTTTTAACAAAAGATAAAGTTGATTTATGTTCAGTTTTATGAAAACATTTATACCGCCCTGATTTCTTTATGTGCTTTTCAAGTGGCCAGATTTTCGTGCAATAATTTAAAGAAGTCTTGATTAATATCTTTTCAGGCTTTCTGGACGTCTTTCATTGTATTTAATTTTCTTTGTTTCTGCAAGATGAAGATTTTGTTTTTCCTTTCAAGACAGAAATCACAGGGTGTTTCACACATAAAAAATAAAATAACTAAAATGAAAATGGCAAAAAAAAGACATTCAAATACAAGGGACCATCAGTTGAAGGATCAAGGTCTTTTGGTAGATTTTAGGGCCTCATTAGATGCAAAAAAACAGACAAATCTGCAGCACAAATTATGTTTTGTTGGTAGAAAAGTGTAAAAAAAGATCCAAAGATTTGACACAACAACTTAGCTTTATTTCATTTTTTACACCTGGACGATTCATAGGTCAGAGTCAAAGAAACAAAAGCATGGATGTTAAATGAGTGAAAAAACACTCAAAATCCAAGAAACTTAAAGGTGTTGTACACTCATTTCTTCTATGCATTTGCAGTGGTCTATAATAGGAATGAATGCCTTTAAGCATGGATGTAATTCTCACTTTAGAAGTGGGGGGGACATGGGGGGGGGGGGGGTGTCTTTACAGTTTGTTCTAATGGGAAACAGGTTTCAACACAAACGGTTGTTTTCTGCTTGGTCCTAGAGCTCAACCAGTGTCAATTTAATATAGCGTAATATTGTTTTTGGATGGTAAAAGGTGCAGGGGTCAAAACTTGACTTTGGAAAAAGTGGGGGGGACATGTCCCCCCTGTTCCCCCCGAAAATTACGTCCATGCCTTTAAGTCATAATCTGGGAGGAGAAAAATATACCAATGCACCATTTCCAGGAACTACCAGGTACCCACATCACAGCTGAGCTTCAGACGACTTTCTGAAATCTTATTTCCTGATATTTAGACATCTCGCCTCGGATCGTCTAACAGCAACGCGACTCTACCGCCGACTTGCAACGTGGATGTTTCATCTCTACAAATAACACAAACCTCCAACTTTTACGAGATGATCAGATTCTTGGGAAGCATAAAATGAAGGAGTGAACAAAGCATCAGCCGAAATATAGCCTGGAAAGAGAAATGATGGTTTTGATGTCAAAAACAGGATTTATTCTAAAGAGATCATAAGAAATAAACCAATTAGCAGGTTCAAGCCTGCACCCCCCTTCCAGTGGTGTGATGCTGCACCGTTATCAGAACCAGCAGCACATCGTGACACCAGAACATAAGACCACTCTTACAGAAGATTAAAGTTCACATATGCAGTGGCGTGTCCAGATCTTTTACAACGGGGTGGCCCAGGTGAGGCACAACTTTGTGCATGGGTGGCACCAATGATTATGCTATTTTTTTTGTTTTGTTTTACTCCCAAACCTTTTGTGGACAATGAAAAGCCTATTTAAAGATAAATTAGCGTGGTGGCACCTGGGGTGGCCAATCAGATTCCAAGGGGGACATGTGCTACCCCAGGCCACTCCCTGGACACGCCCCTGCACATATGGTTAAAAATACTCGCCTACACAGTATTTACTATCGTTCTAGGATTTTTAATATGATCAATGTTGACAGGACTAGCTTTGGTTGGTTGAACGGGCATTAGATACCCCTCCCTCACGTTTTCTTCTTTTCTGACCATACGGGATTATGAACTCTTTGAACTGTCAGACTACAGAGCAAAAAAATGATCTTTACTGGAACTGACCAAAGGAGATAAAGGGAAGTGAGGAGAGGGAGAAGTTTCTGATGGGTTGAATTACTTCCGCCAGAGCGGTAAAAGTTTCTGCTTATCTGTGATTATTATTAATGATAGTACGGAGGCGGAAGTGGGAGGGGTGATGGAAGGCAGGCGGACGTGCGCTGCCTCAGCGCGGCACGCTCCTCACAGTTGGGAGGGGTTAACAGTCATGACACTGAATGGCTTTTGATTTATACGGTCCCTATCAGGGTGAGTGAATGCATCTGGGCTGCATGAAGTCCAGCAGGCTCTAAGATGTTTTCTGTGAGGCAAAAAAAAAATTTTTACAATTTTTTTCGTTTTTTATGTGAATTTTTTATACGTTGAAATTGGTTTTCAAAATGAAGCAGCAAGACAAACCATTACTGCACTGCCTAAGCTACTAACTCTCATTGGAGTAGAATCTACGGAGGTCTGAAGGTAGAACAGAAAGTGGTGGATCAGGCTGGAGGTACTGCAGATTTCCTGTAATAAAACTGGGAAACACCCTTTTGTGACAGCTTCACAAAACGCAGACAGACTGTACTCCTATGCATAGATAATTTATCGTCCATGTGCGTGGAAAAAAGGGGGTGGAAATTCCGTCCCAGGACATGAATCAAGTTCTGTGATGGTTTTATGAACTGCTGAAAGGCTGCGAGGAAATCACACGCCTGGAAGTTGTAACTGATGCTTCACGATTTTGGTTTTGGAGCTTCTGGTTGCTCAGAGCATGGACGTAATTTTTGGGGGGGACAGGGGGGACATGTCCCCCCCACTTTTTACAAAGTCAAGTGTTCACCCCTGCACTTTTTACCATCCAAGCACAATATTACGCTATATTAAATTGACACTGGTTGAGCTCTAGGACCAAGCGGAAAACAACCGTTTGTGTTGAAGCCCGTTTCCCATTAGAGCATACTGTAAAGGATCCAGATGACCCAATGAATTATAGACCAATATCTAACCTTCCATTTTTATCCAAGGTCCTGGAGAAAGTGTGTGTGTGTGTGTGTGTGTGTGTGTGTGTGTGTGTGTGTGTGTGTGTGCGTGCGTGCGTGCGTGTGTGTGTGTGTGTGTGTGTGCGTGCGTGTGTCGTGGAGGATGGCTGCTTATACTGAGCCAGGATTCTCTGGAGGTTTCTTCCTGTTAAAAGGGAGTTTTCCTCTCCACAGTCGCTAAATGCTTGATGCAATTTGCTGGGTTCCTTATATAGGAAACATTATTTCTGATTGGCTTAATGAACTGACCTGAATTGGAATGTTTATTATGTGAAGTGCCTTGAGACGACTCTTGTCGTGATTTGGCGCTTTATAAATAAACTTGAATTGAATTGAATTGAAAATTGAATTAAAGATACCCCACCCCCCCACCCCCACCCCCCACTTCTAAAGTGAAAATTACATCCATGGTTCAGAGTGACACATCTGCAGGTGTACTGTTAGATGCATCTATGGTGAAATGAAACCAAAGAGCGATGCTATTTTACTAATGGAGACGTCTCAGAAAGCCTTCTGGTCTTTAACGGGCTTCAGAACAGAAGAACATGAAAACAGAACGCGTGCACATGGAGCTACTTTACGTCCTCCTCGTTAACTCGTAGAGCAACCTTCGAGCTAGTCGTTTCTGTACGACGTCATCGGCCTCTTGCATCATCGTGAAGGAATCTACACGTGCTTCTCTTTGCAACGTTGCATCAGATTATTGAGATTTGCAGGCTTCTTCTAAAGATCTTGCCAAAACATTTGAATTCCATTGAGGTCTGGGCATTGAATGGGCTTTTGCAACACGATGATCATTTTTCAGCTATTTTGGAGTTTTCCCCCCATTGCCAGACCAGTTTGGGGCCAAACCTCAACAAACGCGTTTGCATTTGACTCCAGAAGAGTTGGTGGTTGACTTAGTGACTGCGAGGTGCCAAGATCCTGCGGCTGCAGAACAGGCCCAAACTGCCACCCCTCCTCTTCTGTGCTTGACAGCTGATATGAATCCAGACATCTCCACTTTGGTCCCATCTGTCTAAACAGCACAGCTCCAAGAGTCTTGTGGTTTGTTTGGATGCAGCACTGAGAGCCTAATCCGTGCTTCTATGTTGTTTTCTTCCGACTCCTTCAATCAAGCCAGACTAGTTCAGTCTTTTTCTAATTATAGTGTAAAGACGAAACAGCGTTATAACGCTGACTGAGGCCTGAGCACTTATTTTTACGCTTTACTCAAAAACCATTCAAATCTGACTTGGAACTGTTTTAAGACATCGACTCCTGGGACAGCAAGGGTCTGGGCAGCTTTTCATCTTTTGCATGATTGTTTAAAACCCTGCACAGATTAGTCGCCAGGATAATTCTCTACGATCGTTGCAAACTTTTTTATTTAAGGTTCGACACTGAAAAAGCAAATCCGGTCAGTGGTGGTCGCGTTGCTGTTAGCCAATCAGAGGCGAGATGTCCTGATAGGCGTGTCTCCATTGCTGGATTGGGATAGAGTAAGTTGGGTTATCGAGGACGTTTTGAGAGTGGTTAGTTTCAGGATAATTCATACGAGATTGCTGCTCTGCGATAACCCTGACAGAAGCACCCCTGCTGTGTCTCAACCAGCTCAGTGGCCTAGTGGTAGAGTGTCCGCCCTGAGACCGGGAGATCAGGGTTCAATTCCTGTCGGGTCACACCAAAGACTTTGAAAAAATGGGACCCAATGCCTCCCTGCTTGACACTCAGCATTAAGGGGTTGGATTGGGGGGTTAAACCACCAAATGGTTCCCGAGCGCGGCGGTGTCTGCAGTTCACCGCTCCCCCAGGGGATGGGTCAAATACGGAGAACAGATTTCGCACACACACATCAGGGTGTGTGACAACTAATGGGACTTTAACGCTCTCTCGAGCACGCTCCAGGAGGCAACGAGTCCTTTCTGACAACGAGGGGAGTAGAGGAGGCGGAAAAAGGAGGAGAAGAATGTGTTATTTGGCGCCAGGTGATAAAAGGACCGTGGCAGTCGGCCATTTGGTAACCGAACGCTTCTGTAAAATTACACATAATTTCAACAATGTGACTTTCGTTCGCACAGTTAATTGCTGCGTTTCAGATGGGAAGCTGGTGCATGAAAGTAAGATTTGACGCACAAAAAATCCAGAGAAACATTAGCACCATTGGCTTCGTGGTTGATTATGTCATCATTTATGGTGTTTTAATGGGACTTGTGGTCCAGCTTGGAGTTGCCCATTACCTCTCTGCAACGTCACCAAGCCCCGTGACTGCGCCCTGCATCCGTGTGGAAAACTACTCGTGCAGTCGCATGAGATCAGACCGCGGGACGCTCGCGGCGTGTGGAAAAAGGCCAAACACGGACTCCATTAAACACCGTTGCTACGCTGTAAACAGCTGTGCTGATTCCTCTTCTCACTCCTGACAAATTATCTGCTCAGGAAGTGTTTGCTGAAGCATTTGGTGTTTGCACACACACACACACTCTGCCACAGCACGTATAGGAATCACCCTGGTTTCCTGCTAACACGATGGTGTTTACAGAGGTGCGTCAGGTCGGTGCAGGGGAGGCTGCTTGTTGTACATCTAGAAGAAAAAGCCTTCATTAGAGCGGGCCGTGTTTAGACATGCGTGTCAGCAGAAACTCAGACACACACACCTGAAGTTGCCCGCTTGGATGCACCCGTTCTGAGTCAGCAGAAAGAGGAGCTCGGCGACACCGCTAATGACCCAAGTGTTGTTCTTCAATTTAAGTCCGAGCAAGGCCGAGGAACTCCTCTCTGCGCTGCTTCGGTTCCACAAATCCTCTCCGTTCCTCCTTTTGAAGCAGCTTTTCTCATCATCCACCACTCACCCTGCCGCTCGGCTTCCCCGCTTTATCGCGCTCGTTTCTCTGCACCGTAAAAGTCACGTTTGTTCCTTTTTTTCCTCTCACACACACCGCAGGCGCGATAAGAGCTGCAGCAGGGCAATCTCTGTATGTCTTGACACACGGCCGCTGCCTCATGTCAAGGCTTATCAGCTCTTTACACTTCCGTAGTGCCTATCGGTCTGTCAGTGATCAGGAAGTAGACTAAACATTCCCAACAGACTGTCCAGGAGAGGGCATCATTACGGTAGGGACACATTTAACTGCATTAGAGTTCATTTTTATTCTATAAATCAATAGTTTGATGCTACTTTTAAGCAGTTCAGTTGCTTATTTTGCAGAATTTTATTAAACGTCGTCAGGCGTTTGCTGAGAGAGGCTAGTTTAAAATGTTTCTGGGAGTTTTCCATCCATTTTCTGAACCCACTTGTCCATGTAGGGCCGTGTGTGTGTGTGGGGGGGGGGGGGGGGTGGGGGGGGGGGGGGGCTGGTGCACTTCTCCAGGGTCAATGGGCATTCAGGCAGTTATTTCACAGAAAACAGGAATAAATAATAAATTTATTTCACTGAGGGACTGAATGTTAGTTTTAATTGTACGTTTGTGATCAATGTGTGGAAAATGTACTTTTGCATACTTTAACGATAAATGTACTTTAAAATTGTAAAAAACAACAAATACTCATAAAAACTTGTCTTTTTACATTCTTGTGCTAAATTTTAGACCCACGTTTCATAAACTGGGTATTTTAGGGTTTATTTTAACAGATGTGAACACAGATTATTAACTATTATTATTATTATTAGTAGTAGTAGTAGTAGTAGTAGTAGATCTGTGATGAACAGGCAGTTTCTGCAAAGCTTTTAGCCCGCAACACACCTTAGCACAGTCTTCCTCACCCCCATCAGACCCCCTCTCCCTGTCTCGGCTGAACCTCCGGAGGACATGCGCGCCAGCGGGCATCGAACAGGTGGGCGCCCCATCTTTACCGGACACGTAAAGTCCATTCTGCGCTCAACCGACAGGAGACAGGAAGTCATGACGTCACACGCCGAGATGAGCCAACGGGGAGGAAGTAAAAGAAAAGATCCGGATTTCATACGCGCTGCAACGCACGCCGCAGCGCCGGCTACGTGTCCGGCCACACACGCGCCCGGCTCCCGACAGCTGGAGGTCCTCTTTCGTGGAAAAGACCGGGGGGGGGGGGGGGGGGGGGGGGGGGGGGGGGGGCTGAAGGCGCGCGACGTGGGGTTTTAAGCTGCAATACTGGAAAGTATTTGCCCCTGGAAGTGGAAATTAAAGTGCGGTGCTTGTTTTATTTGCAGCGTTTGATAGCCTCTTAAAGAAAATGCGTGTGATTGATCAAAAATATAGAAACATAACATCCTTTATGACAGTTTAGCCTCTAATATCCAAAAATGTGTGTTTTATTATTAGAATATATATCCTGTAGTATCAGCAAACTGAACACAGTAAGAGACACAGTGCTCCCACTAATAATAATAATAATAATAATAATAATAATAATAATAATAACTGAATAATTAGGCCTACATTTATATGTCTCTGATCTGTCCTGAGTTAAAACTTCAGAAGGTTTATGGCAAGTGGAAAGTGTCACCATAACCTTGTATGATGGGTAAAACGTGCCACAGGCAACATACTGAAGGAGAACCTTGTCCTGGTTACATTAAATGTTAGCAAAACATGTGTGTTCACGTCTAGAAATAATAAAGAATGTCTTGGAAAATGTAATTTCTCCATTTATAAATGATCCATCAGACTTTTTCGACACTCGTTGAACTAAAATGTGGAATTTTTGTAGTTGTAGTAAACTAAATTATTAACCACACTAGATTTCATTTTTATTTATCATCATATTAAAGTCAAAAGAGGATGAAATCAAATGTATTATTTTTATTCCAAACGTGTCCTACGAGTATGTTACCTTAGCACCAAATGTGTCATTTTGATTGTTTAAAGAGCAAGTCACCCCCTACCAGAGTCTAACTCCACTCCCACTTCATGTTTGAAAAATGCAACAAATGCTGTTGCCTGGCAGCAGGGGCGGATTAAGAACTGAAGAACATCCGGGGCTTAACACACGCACATACGTGCGCGAACACACACGCGCGCGCGCGAACACACACACGTGACACGCACTAGTCAACATCATATATATTTGTCTTGTACCACATAATTTTTAATCTGAAGCTACATATTCAGCATGTTCAGGGCAGAGTATTGTTCCTGTTAGTGTTTAGTGTGAGATGATAGTAAATATTCCCTTTCTTTCTCCAACAACTTTACCTGATAGTAAGCTAACTTTAGGCAAACCAGCAGCACAACAAATATTTTCAAATAAGACTCACAAACCTGAGTCAGCACCAGTCTCATCAAAGCTGGGGTTCTGTCGCGGTACTTTTGGTCTAAAAAACGTCCTTATGTCCATCTTCACTCATGCGTTTCAGGCAGAGAGTGTAGAAGAAGCCGGCTGCTGAAGGGCTTCTTCTTCAGTGGTGGAGGCTCAGGCAGGCTGTATACAAACTACTGCCAGCTGCTCCCTCTCTGTTGGACTTTGGTACTGCATGTTACTTCCATGATTTAGATCTGGGGCTTTTCATAAAACATTCGGGGCTTCAGCCCAAGTAGCCGGGCCTAACGCCGCCCCTGCCTGGCAGACCGAGAGGGCGGAGCTGCTAACAAATACACACACACACACAGGCTCACGACAGCATTGTGACATCATAATGTACCAGTTTACATCATAGCATGCCTCTTAGCCAATAGCGGTGGCAGATTTAAATTAGAATACAGTGCAGAGTTTTTCTCGTCTCGTCTCGTCTTCCTCCGCTTATCCGGGTCCGGGTCGCGGGGGCAGCATCCCAACTAGGGAGCTCCAGGCCGTCCTCTCCCCGGCCTTGTCCACCAGCTCCTCCGGCAGGACCCCAAGGCGTTCCCGGACCAGATTGGAGATGTAACCTCTCCAACGTGTCCTGGGTCGACCCGGGGGCCTTCTGCCGGCAGGACATGCCCGAAACACCTCCCCGGGGAGGCGTCCAGGAGGCATCCTGACCAGATGCCCAAACCACCTCAACTGACTCTTTTCGATCCGGAGGAGCAGCGGCTCTACTCCGAGTCCCTCCCCAATGTCCAAGCTCCTCACCCTATCTCTAAGGCTGAGCCCGGCCACCCTACGGAGGAAACTCATTTCAGCCGCTTGTATCCGCGATCTCGTTCTTTCGGTCATTACCCAAAGCTCATGACCATAGGTGAGGATTGGGACGTAGATCGACCGGTACACTATTATGCAGAGTTTTTACCTGCTGAATATTAGGCTGAATATTTAAATTTGAACTAAGATGCACTGAAGTGCCAAATTATTGACGACATGTGTCTGCAGCACAATTAAACACTCGTTTATTTAGTTTATCAGCAAAAAAAAAAAAGTTTATTTGGGGGTGACTTGCTCTTTAAAAGTGTGTGTGTGTTAATCCCTGCTGGGTCTCTCGTCTTCATAAGCACCGCTGACATTTTCAGACCAGACATCAGCCTTCACCTAGTTTGACTCATGGTGTCACTCTTTACCCGTCATACACCGGGAAGACTCCAGTCCGACGCCTCCAACTGAGGCTCAGTCAGACGGGAGCTTGAGTCGAAGGACGCTCTCAGGCGCGCGCGGACAAACCAAACCAACTTTATAATTCTGTTATTGTTATTCATCTGTCAGATCGGAGGGTTTTATCTCTGCCATCCCCCCCAGACTGACCCAGACCGACGCTTGCAGACGGCGGCCGGCCCACAAGCATGGGATTGTGATGCCGCGGAACGATGTGGGACGTGGTGCATCTTGGATCTTCGCGTTTCTGGATATATTAAAAATTATTGGCAACAGTTGAAAGTCGCACGGATCGCTCTGCGGGACCAGCATGGATTTACAACCCCCGGCCCCTTTTTAGGAGAACTTTTTACCGGTTTTCTGTTCATTTATTGGTTATTTTTAAGTAAAAGTCCCAAGAACTCATCGGACGCTCAAGAATTTGTTTTTTTCCTTTTTGAGAATTAATTTTTTTATTTGATTACAATTATTATTATTATTATTATTATTATTATTATTATTACTATTCTGGACTGGATTTCCAACATCATGAACTTTATTGACAGTTTGACACTATTATTTTTGACGCTGTCAGCTGTCAAGGTGAGTGTGATCCAAACTGCAGCTAGATCAGGAGAAAGCGAACCCGTTCCGTCCTTGTCTGTCGCCTGACTAGGTCACCCCGTTCGTGTTTCAACCTTTTAGTGGCTTTGGAGAGGTTTAAACAGCCATTATTATAATTACGCACAGGCTGACGCAGGGACGGGACCGAACCCGAAGACTCGTGGGTTCTTTCTGCTTCAAAGGTGGCTTAAATTCTGATTTTTAAACATATTTATAATCATGTTGTGAAGTTTGACGCTGGTCAGACTGAAGGCCGTGCTCCTAAACCACTTTGGAGATATGATTACGCTTTAAAGGGACAGCGTTCGGAACCGGGAACTGTAAGCAGGTTCCTCCAGTGCCACTGACAGCCGAATGGAACAACTACTTAGGTTTTTTTTTTCTTTTAAAGCAGGAATCGGTCATAAATTCCTATAAGGATTACACTTGTAATCATTAATCAGGTGCTGGTTGGTGTTGAGCAAAGGTTTCAAGGTGAAAGAAAAAGGAAAACAGTAACACACCACCCCAAGAGGAGGCGTTGTCCTGCGATTTGATTGGACTTTACAAGCTCATTCCCAACGTTTCCTCTGATGCTTCCCAGTCGAGTTATTCCCAACATTCCTGGTGGTTGTATAAAGGATCCCCTTATTCAAAGAATGCCAAATTATCAGTCACATGTTCGCAGCTTGGCACCTCTCTATAATTTACTTATTTCTGATGAGGAGGGAGGAGGAGGAGGGGGGGGGGGGGTCCTTCAGCCCTCAGCCCACAAGGTTGGACCCTCTCACGCCACCAGAAGGAGGGTGGAGCTTGCACACAACCCAGTCTTCCTTTTCTTCCTTCAAAAAAAACTTTTTGGCGAGGAGCTGAATCTGAATCCCCAGAGTTCAGCATGGCGCGCTCGCCTCATGCAACACTGGCGAGGTATTGCGCGATGCGCGCGATTCGGTGTGTGAACAAAATGTAAGAGGGGGGAGAGAAAAAAGGGTGTGTGTAATGTGGGGAAGGGAAAGGGGGGGGGGGGGGAGTGAGGGGGCGACAAAGAGCTCTAACCATCAAATAAAGAGTCGCCAGAGATGCCGTGGCCCCACTGGTGCGGTGACAGGCGGACATTCCTGAATGGTTTTAATGGTTTTATTAAAGCGGGCTGGCTGAGGAGCGCCACACGAAGGGAGGCACACACCAACACGGTGGTTCCAAAGTTTATGAAGCTCTGCCACGTTGATGAGGCAGATCTGAAGTCAGCTCAGCTGGCACCGACTACCTTTGCTCTCGTGGCCAAATAAAGCCACAGACCGCAGATGTACCCGTGAGGGCACCACGTGATGCGCGGGTGTGCCCGTCAGCTGTTTCTTGTGCTATGGGGATTCGGTAGAGACAAAAATGTCAAAATGCAAACATAATCTTCTTTTATGAACAGCTGCATGCGAACAGTTCTGGCGCAGTCTTCCTAACAGCCTTTCGTTTTCTCCACAGAGTGCCCACATACCGAAGGAAGCAGAACGAGGTCCACATGACGGTAGGTGTCCCACAGGGCACCGTGGGAATACTGTCTGTGCTGGGCTCCCTGATTGGCACTCGGCCAACAGGGACAGTTTGAATTTCACCTTGACACTAGCAGAAAGCTAGCGCCTCCTGGTGGATGCCTCCAGACCCTCACCCTGAGATTCTCTCCTGTGTTTTAGTTATGTTCAATCTAACTGCGGTGCTGTGGAGGAGTTCCCCTTGAGGTTAACCCGAGGAAACGCTTTAGCCACACACCCTTCCACAGAGCAGAACGTCGCCCGCTTGGCCCACAGTTTTCACTTTTGTTGCAACAACCCCGGCCGTTGCCCAATCTAACCCCTACGAGCTAGAGTTCACGGTGTTTGCTTTGGCGTCCCAGAGGACCGCCAGCCCGGGGTTGTTTTGGGCGATGCTGTCAGTCCGGGCTGTTTCTGGAGCAGAACTCCTGCAGAGATGGAGGAGGAGGGTTTAGTGCAGCCTATGGGGGTCACGTTGATGAATAGTTGAATAACTTGTTCATTTTAATGACTAATTATGTAAGTGTCCATATAAAGTAGGCCAGTCCGTGTTTGCTTATGTAAACCGAGTGCTTTTGTGTGAAACAATGGGACTTAAGAGTGTGTGTGTGTGTGTGTGTGTGTGTGCACCTCTCTGAATGTTTACCCCTTTAGACTGTTGCGTGCATGTCAGCAGTTTACTCTCGTTTCTATTGAGGTGTTCGTTTTTCAAACACTAACGCTGCTCCCTTTGCCCCCTCCCCCAGTGATCCCCTTGATAGAGGTGTACAACAAGAGTGTGTGTCAGCCACGAGAGGTGCTGGTGGAGATTCTGCAGGAGTACCCAGACGAGGTGGAGCACATCTTCATCCCGTCCTGCGTGGTGTTGAGGCGCTGCGCCGGCTGCTGCAGCGACGAGATGCTGCAGTGCACGCCGACAGCCACCCGCAACGTTACAATGGAGGTCAGCAACACTGACAACCACAAAAACATCGGTTTTATATGGTTTCTCTAAATATTACTGATGTATTTCATTGTTTAGTTAAGCTGATTCAGGGTGGATGTCACCCATCTGGTTGCATAAGTGGTTTTGGATTCATTTACAAATGTCACAGTAGAGGGGCACAAGTCCACCTAAGCTGAGAGCCTTGAAAGAGCTTGGCCTTTAAAAAGCCCCTCTGATGTTTCCAAGTGCGCGTGGTTTAAAGGCTGCTTAGGCGCAACACTCAGACACTTAAACAGGTCCTCCATTTTTATTTTCACCTTCCACACGTCCTTGTCCAGGCTTTTAGATCCCAGAAAGGGATTCTGCATCATTTAAATATCAAACCAATCAGCTTTTTCTCTAGATGGATGTGGTAACTTACGGTTAAAACTTTATAAAAACTTCTCCTGAAGTCTTCCATTTACTTTGTACCTCTGTTCTGCGTTGAAACGTTATTATTACAGTTGGTTCGTCTTTTTTGTTGTGATTCTTCTCTTTGTGTTCAATGAGCAGTTTAAGTAAAAATGGCTGCAGTTAGCGGGAGAGCTCTGGAATTTTGCATCCAAAAAAATTTAGGTTTAACAGCTTGAAACAGCCTTTGTTTATTTTTGGCTTGTCCTGGATGATTTTCAGCCTGATAATCTGGAGGCCCTGCAATGATTCTATCACATTAAAATCGAGTATACACTCTAAAAAATGAAACGTTGAAGTTCCAAGACCCGCTGATAGAAAATAGATGAAGAAACTCTCAGATTAGAAAAGCCTGTTAGATCTGCATCACGCTGAAAACTAACATTCGTGGACTGGCTTGTGACCTGATAGGCTGTTGTTGGTTTTGCATCCAGGAGAGAGCAGAGCCCATCTTGGCTTGCAGATGCTAACCATTAGCATTAGCTTTAACGCTGCACAGCTCCGTCAGACTTGTGTTGTTTGTGGAGATGAAACAGCAACATTGCAAAGCAAACAAACTCAGTGGTAGTCGTGTTGCTTTGAGTCAATCCTGTCGTGTTCTGTTCCCATTCCTGACTCACTTCCAGTTCCTCAAATAGGAAAAGGAGAGCTTCCCCCCCCCAAAAAAAAAGATGGACTCACAAGGCCTTTATCAATACTAGACAGGTTCTGTCAACTGTTTCCACTAAACCTTGTTTCTTTAAAGTTGAGAGTTACATAGATTGTTCTAAGGAAAGAAAGAACGAAAGAAAAGGATCTTTTATGTAGCGCCTGTCAAGATTAAAATCACGAGATAAAAAGTTTTTTTGAAAAATGGTTAAAATTAGAAAAATATGTGATTCAAAAATGTAAGAAAAGGGAAATCAGTAGATCCCGGGAAAGGTGGGATTGTTAGGAAGAGCAGAATAAAGAGAGAGTGGTGAAGAGGGTCACGCAAAAGCCAGCCTGAACAGGTGAGTCTTCGGCTACTTTTAAAGGAGACCACTGAGTCCACTGATCTCAGGCTCAGGGGGAGAGAGGTCCAGAGTCTGGGGGCCGCAGCAGCAGATTATCTGCCACCTTTGGTCTTTAAAGGGCAAGTCACCCCCAAACCAACTTTTTTTTTGCTGATAAACGACATGAACGAGTGTCTAATCGTGCTGCAGACACGTGTCGTCAATAATTTGGAACTTTAGTGCATCTTGGTCAAATTTTAAATGTTCTGCCTAAAACTGGCAGTGTTGCGCCGTCGTCAGGTAAAAACTCTGCACTGTATTTGAATTTAAATCTGCCACCGCTATTGGCTAAGAGGTATGCTATGATATAAACTGGTACATTATGATGTCACAATGCCATTGTAAGCCTGTGTGTGTGTGTATTTGTTAGCAGCTCCGCCCTCTCGGTCTGCCAGGCAACAGTATTTGTTGCATTTTTCAAACATTAAGTGGGAGTGAAGTAAGTCCAGGGGCGTGTCCAGGGAGTGGCCTGGGGTAGCACATGCTACCCTTGGAATCCGATTGGCCACTCCAGGTGCTAACACACTAATTTACCTTTAAACTGGCTTTTCATTGTCCGCTAAAGGCTTGGGGGTAAAACAAAAAAGGCATAACCATTGGTGCCACCCATGCACAAAGTTCTGCCTCACCTGGGCCACCCCGTTGTAAAAGATCTGGACACGCCCCTGAGTAAGTTTCTTGTGGGGGGGTGACTTGCTCTTTAAGTTATAAGTTATGTTAAAAGTAAATTTATATCACTGATTATTTCACTCTAATTTATGCAACAAGGTTTAGTGAAACCAGATAACATCACTTGGTTGAGAAAATTCAACGTTTCATTTATTAAGGTGCAGAGAGAAACTTGATTGTGCAAAAATGTGACTTTCTCCTTGTGTCTAATCCTTGATTCAAATCTTCTTCTTTCTCCTGTTTTGTTTCAGATTAAAAGAATAAAACTCCAAAGGCAACAAAATGACGTTTTCATGAGTTTTACAGAACACAGCGCATGTGAGTGTAGGTAAGAGGCCCCAAACACTCAAAACACACCAACACACCACTGAACAGCAAATCACTGCACCATTGTGTAGCAGAGCAGAGTTTGGCCAACCACGTCGTGTAAAGTCTTCAGCTCAACCCTCCAACGCATTCACCCGATGCAAATCGCTCCCGTCCATGTCTTATCTCAGCCTCTTCCAGTTGGCTGATTCTTTAAAGAAAGAACGCGTTGAAACGTATCGCAGCGGACGCCCGCCATGTTTGGAATCCGTCGTTGTTCCGTGGCATCATCGAGAATGTCGCATTCTTCCTGGATTTATTCATCCTTGTGAAATGATGTGACCTTTACTTATTGTGTTGTTTAGTTCCGCTTTGGTGTCAAACTCTTATCCTAATCCTGAAGAAGTAGATTCACCGCCTAGAACACACGGAATAGCAGGAATGTCATTCATTCCCAGTCAGGCACAGCTGTTTCCTCCAGCAGGAAGACACGGAGTTACTGGAAGTGTTTAATTTATTAGCGTGAGCCTTCTTAACATAAGCCCAAAAGTAGTTTATTTTTTTTAATTTGGGGGGAAAAGCTTTGAAGGCGGTTAAAAAATCCTACGTAAGATATTTGTAAGTGGATTTATTTGAGAATTTCTGATTAGTTAATATCTCACCTGTTTGCAGGTTACCAAACAACCTCAGTTTGCAGAAACATAGATTTGTTCTGACTGGATTGACAAGCTAACAGCTAGGCACAGAGTCTTTAACACTTTAATCTCACCCTTTCATAGCAACTCGTGTCAGCACAATTTTATAAACCTTCATCTGGTTATTTTAGCAAAAATATTAGAATATTCCTGCAGGAAGTGACACGCGCTGCCCTGGGAGCGCGACGGCTAGCTGCTGTCATTACTTTTGGTTTCAATTCATCACAAATTTAGAAGGAAATTGGGGTTGTGTAAGGATAACATCAGTCCACCTTGGTTTTAGCCACATTAGTTCAACGGTCTGATGAAAAGATATAAAAATATATCATAACCGTCCTAAAATCCCTCACATCAAAAGGTCAGGAGTGTTTTAGATATATTTAAAGTTTTCCAATTGGTGATTTTCCTAGTTTGCCTTTTAAAAACATGACCTGAGCAGGAAAATAAATCTAAAGTATCTGGCTGGTCCTGCAGTGAAAGCAAAAATGAAATAATGAAAACTCGTTCCATGTTAATTGGTAACAGAAATGTCGCCTGCATTTGAGCTTGTGTCGTTCTCCGGTGGGGACAACCTATTAAAGTTAATTTATTTTTCTAAAATCGGTTACGTTTGAAAAGACTTGAGCTCAGAGGGGTCGGGCACTGTCCTCCCACTCCACCTGTAGCAACACGTTCTCGCTCCCAGCGCGTCAAAAACAAACGCTTGGTCAGCCACCCTCCGCCTCAGACCCCTGACGCCAAAAGTGCCCTTTTTCGTTACTTATGTGCCAAAAGGGTTTTCCCCTTTTCTGACTGCAGATCCCAACGCAGCATAAAACTGACGCGATGGGATGTCCGCAGCCAGGGCACCAAACAAGCTCATCGTACCTCACCCTAACCTCATCCTGTTATGTAACCTTCCCCTCGCCCCATCCTAACCTTAACCATCTTGCTAGCGAACACGTTAGTGATGTGTCGGTCGCTCTAAAAGCCGGCTCTGTGAAGTGAACGGCGGGAGCCGCCTCGTCATTGGTCGGGTTTGGACCGAGCCAACACGAGGGGGAGGTTTCAACTACCAAGGTGGAAGTTAAAAGTAGAGGGTATGTGTAACCTCCCCCTCGCCAGATGGTATGTTCTAACGTTCCCCTTGGGCGGCAAATATGAAAATTCACAGTCAGAATGCATGGGAGACAGACGCTTGATCACAGTGAGAGTAACGTTTTAGGTAGCAAGAGGGTTAAGGTTAGGATGAGGGGAAGGTTATAAATAGTGAAACGTTAAGGTTTAGGTGCGGTTAAATGAGCTGGTTCGGTGCCGCATCAGCGGACATCCCATCGCGTCAGTGTAACGCTGCATTTGGATCTGCAGTTACAAAAGGGAAACACCCCTTTTGGCACATAAGTAATGAAAAAGGGCGCGTTTGGCGTCAGGGGTCTGAGGCGGAGGGTGGCTGACCAAGCGTTTGTTTTTGCCGCGCTGGGAGCGAGAACGTGTTGCAACACTCCACCAGATCATCTAAAAGCAAAACAAACACGCGTGACGGAAGGCCGACTTAAGTTACTCAATCACTGCTTTACATCTCCGATGTGCGTAATTTGTCTCTGCTTACTGGTCACTCCCGGGAGACACTTTGTTAGTTCGTCAAACCTCTGTTGTTAAATAAATATCACACCAAAAACCTCGAGACAGTTTATTCACAAAGCAAATGATGCATCAGGACAACGGTAGCAGAGTTGGAACGGCCAGCTTAACGAATAACAACAACAAAAAAAGCAAATAAATAACAAAATTAGGAAATATGAACTACAGCTAACGCTTTACAGCTGCTTCTGTTTACATTGAGAAACCCCTCTGCCTCTGTTTCGCTGGGCTTTCTCCCTCCGGCAAACTCGAAACTGCCATCATTCCCATTTTTATCAGTCTAATTGCCAGCGTTATAAAACAATCTCAAACGCAGAATTTCCCGTACCTGGGCGCAGCATCAGATTCAGCGCCAGCGGTGTAAGACACAGATGCATCAACCAGATCGTAAATACGCCAAACACATGGATGCCTTTTCTTCTTGATACGTGCATTTGTTGCAGCCAGCTGTAAAACAGAACCTCGGCCTGGTGTCCGGGAGCATCTTGAAGGAAACACAGTTTCCTAACGTTATTGGCAAACTGCAACCTGAAGAGTGTGCCAGCAGATTTGTTGCTCCACACTTTCTTATCTGCAGCAGCCGTCACATGAGCGAGAAGTGAAGCAAACCTCCATTGCGGACGTGTTTAGTGCGCACGCGTCCTTTTAACAATCCCCTTTACGTACCCGGGCTTGTAAAGTGCTCTGCATAGTTTGCCAACTGCCGGGTTTCACTTTGTCAAGCCAGAAATGGGAAAGTGAGAAGCAATTTCATCGGTTTCTTGGAAATGACCAGCTACGTAGCGTGGTTTGTGTAGATTATAGCCACTGATCTCTGTTTCCTAACAAACCTTTCGCTAACCTCGTGCTGTTTTGTTTTTGCCTTTTAGGGAAAAGACAGAAGTGAAAGAAAAGAAAGAAAAGTGAGTACTGCAGCTCTTTCTGCATGGAGATTGGGGGACATTGAGGGAGGGATGGGGGAACAATGAGGACTTGAGATCTGATATTGCTTTGCATCACTCTCAGTCGTCTGCAACTCAGCCTTTGTGACAATCGACTGCCAAACACACTCCTAAATTATCTTCCTGTTGTTTTTTTTATTACTAATTTATTTCATTTGATTAAAAACATTCTATTATAATTATTTAAACCCTCGGTGGATGTGTTACGTGTGATCGTGACTGACTCTCGATGAGGCCGTCACCCCCTCTTCACCTCTCTGCCTCTTCTATCTCGTCTTTACGATCCTCTGTTACATTTTCACTTCTCGTTTGCCGTCTGTTACTCGAGCTCCTGATTGCTCTGAAACAGATAAGTGTTTTTTTAAAGATCTGTTCAACTTCCTTGTTCGTGCCAAGCGATCCTCCTCTTCCCCGTGCGACACGAGTCCACGTTCTAAGGGTCATTGAAAGCTCTTTAGTCCTCATAGTCATCAAGATTTTTTCCATGGCGTGGTTGCTGTTTGTGGGTTGTGTTTTGGTTTTATGTCAGGTCATCTGTCATATAGATAAGTCTCAGCTCCGAGACCTTCTCTTTAACCTTGTCTCTCCACTGTTTACGAGTCTGGCTTTGTTGGCGTGCTCCTACAAAATAATGGTCCTTGGGGGTCATTCAACTTCAGTCTCTGAGGCCTTCAATAGTGCGTTTTATCAGTGGCTTCTAGCCTCACAAGAGATCGTGGAGCTTGTCAGCATGAGTCATCCTGCTGAGGTGGTGAACTGTCAACGTCTACTGTGAAGTTAATCCCTGACAATTACAAGAGGAAGCCTTTCTATTTACCCGCATCCTGTTTTGTGGATCATTTGATGTCGTAGTCGTCATCCTGTTTCAACCGGTGCGGATTTAGCTCCACGTGTAGCTTCCGCTCTCTTTACGTCATTCTGCGATGAAGGTTTAAAGGGTTTCCTTAAAATGTTAAAACAAGGTTTTTAGTCAAGCACTTTGGGTGTAAAGATGGCCGCCCGCAGTTGGCTAACTTGTCTAGACTGGAACATCTTCACCTAAATGGGCCTCAGAAGATTCCTCTTTCATCATTAAATCCTGGTTCTAGTCGGGCAAATAAAGTTCTCTTTCAAAACAGTAACACATGCACTGGAATGGATTATCACTAAAACCATGAATTCATCATTTGCTTTCATTATTGATTGAATAAAAACATTTCCCCCCCGCTTGAATATCACAGATTTTGCAGCTGTTAGATTTCTAACAATGTAGGCATTATCTCACTGGGCTGAGACTAGCTGGAGACACAAATCTGCAAAACGATGTCTGTTGGAATTGCGTACAACACTTTTGTTTGAGACAACGTTCGTACGTTGCCAGTTGAGTATATGATGCAGTTACAAACATTTGCAGAAGTTGTAAAATCGTTCTTGGCACAATTTAGAGTCGTAATTGTGTCTTTTTTTGGTCACAAAATCCTCACATTTTTTTTGCAACGTGCTGATGTAAAATTCAGAAGACTTTGAGATTAGTTCCAGACACTCACAATGAATTTGAGAGAAAACAAAGTCTCTCAAATAGTTTAAACTGATTCATACTCCCCACCCCCAAATGCTGTGCAAAATAAATCGCCAACAGTCACAGCCCAGTGAGAAACAGGCTTAAGCTGAGTCGCTAAACCAGTTGATTAGCTTCTTAGCGTCAACAATGCTAACGCTAGCTTAAATTGCTACTGTGCTTAGGCTAAATCTCAGAGCACAATTAGCATGGCTTCAAGTCCTGTTTTCTTAGCAGCACGGCCATAATGTCACCATGACGGTGAACCTTGCCTTGCACAGCTGAGTGGTACTTTATTGGTGCTAAGTATAAGGTGGGCAGGTGGAAAAAAGACAAAAACAGAATGATCTAAGTTAGGTTTATTGAAGTTATCTGCCAATATTTTCCAAATTTTCTTGTTGACAGCATTAACTTGAAGGTGTGCGTCACACAATCAATACATTTGCAGTGGTCTCTAGTAGGAATAAATGCCTTGTAAGTCGTACTCTGGGGAAACAAAGCTATGCTGCACCTGTTTCAGGAAGTAGAAGTGAGCCACATCAGAGATGAGCTTCAGACGGCAGGATTTGGAGTCTTATGTCTGGATATTTGGACATCTCGCCTCAGATCCAATTACAGCAACACAACTCTACCACTGACTCTGTTTGCTCTGCAACGATGATTATTTTATCTCCACAAATAGCACAAGCCTGAAGGAGTTCTGCCATGTGGTGGAGTTGCAAGTGCTAACAGTTAGCTTCTACCTGATTAGACGTTGTCTGCTCTTTCCTTGACACTAAACCAACAGCCTTCCCCATAGTGAGCCAAGATGGGTGAGTCCATAAACGTTAAGTGACAGTGTGACGTAGATCTGTCAGGCATTTCAAATCCTGGCGTTTCACAGTCTATTTTCTGTCAGAAGCTAATGCAGGAGATAGGTGTAGAAGACTATTTTCATGCTTTTTACAACGTTTTTTCAGTGTTCCATACTTTTAGGCATTACATAATGCAGAATTGCGTTTAGCTTTGGTCAGAAAACCATACAGACATCATATCAATTAACATAGGACAGATTTAAACTTCTGTTGCATTCGTGGAACGTTGCTTTCTAAAACATTCAATTTCACATTTTTTGCTCAATTCTAACAAACTAGGGTATATTTATTCATGTTTTTCTTCTTGGCTCAGTTTGACGAAGAAAGTAAGGCACCTCAATCGTATGTAGGGTTTGCGTGTGATCTCTTTGTTACATTTCTAAAGCAGTGCGTGCACACAGCCCTCTTATATAAATCCCAGTCTCCGTGAAATTGTTTGCACATAAACAAGCCTGAATTAATTCAATTCGATTCAATTAAATTTTATTTCTAAAGCGCCAAATCACGACAAGAGTCGTCTCAAGGCACTTCCCACAATAAACATTCCAATCCAGGTCAGTTCATTAAGCCAATCAGAAAAAATGGTTCCTATATAAGGATTCCAGCAAATTGCATCAGACTTTACAGCAATCATCATACTGAGCAAGCATGCAGCGACAGTGGAAAGGAAAACTCACGTTTCACAGGAAGAAACCTCCAGAGGATCCTGGCTCAGTATAAGCAGCCATCCTCCACGACTTAAGCCTGGTTTATGCTTCTCCGTCAGCTCCGCAAGGGACAGACACGCACGGATTGACGGAAGCGTTGCAAAGCAATTCCCCGGCAGGACACCAGAGGGCGTAGCGCAGTTCTGTGGTATCCTGTCATGGATCGGTCCAAGATCGTGTGTTTGTATCGTGTTTTTTTGTATCTAAGAGACTTTTTAACACGGACATATTTGTCTCTCATCCTCCTCCACCTCTTCATGCGCCCGCCACCTCTAAACCCACGTTTCCTGTCATTTCCGTCCACAAATAAAATGCTTGCTGCGTATCTTTTCACTCCTCCAGTCACGGGGGAATTAAACGTTCATGTTTTTAGAGTTTTTTCGCGAGGTATTCTTCAAGTTTCTCCGTGTCTGCCTCTAGTTATCCTCGGCTCTCTTTATGTTTTTGAGGGCGCAATGGCGGCGGTGTAGACGACAGCGGCGTTCTGACCAATCACAAGCTTGCGTTGTCCGTCTCGACTGACGGATGTTTTGAAAAGAGAGCTCGACTCCGTCCGTCCTTGCGGAGCTCTCCGGCAGGCCCGCAAGGACGTTGCGTGTCTCCGCGCTGACGCAGACGGAGAAGCACGAATCAGGCTTCACTGGGGATCGAGGACAGAGCAGACACACACACACACACACACACACACACACACACACACACACACACACACACACACACATTACATTCCAGCCTTGAACCATGAATGAACATATGTACTCTGTATTTAATTTTTTTGCATATAAAAACCTCCGTTAGCGCCACAAGTTATAAATGTGTCAACGAAAGCAAACACAAAAGACAAAAGCTCAGTTTAAGCCGAGACTTTGAAGGGACAACGGACCACCTGGGGTTTTCCTATTTTTGTGCACATCACATTTAATGAGCTTCAACCCTCTGGAGGCAGGCGTTGCAGATTAGCAACGTTAAAACCTGCCTACCTGGTTACTCCGCACACAAATTTCATGAGCATTTTTTAACTCAGACGTACCCCTGAAGGACTTAGTTGTTCGTCCTTTTATCAAAACTTATTTTGAGCCTGAGAGGGTTAAAGAAAAAAACGTGTGCACGTATTCACTTAAATTTGAGCGCCCACTGGCTGGTCAGCCCCTAACAGTTCGTGCGGTATAGAGGCGTAATCGCGGTTGCTGTGCCCACCGACTGTTTCGGCATCCAGCCCCTTTGTGCGCGCTCCATGAACACACTTCTGTTTGTTGTCATTGTACTCTTCTCTGAAACGAGCTTGAATCAGCTCTAAAGAGTTGACCCAGTTATGTTGAAAGATGCAGTTTTGGCGACGTCCAAGCCTTTTGTCCTCAATTCATCCGGGAAATTTCCGCCCACGACCAGCCTCACACTGTTAATTGGTTTCACTCTCTGCAAAGTCATTGTGCCGGTTTGAAAAGAGCAACCTTTTTTGGAAAGGAAAGTCCGGTGAAACCAAGTTGGACAATGAAATGATTTTCTCACAGATCAAACAAATACATCTTATTTAAAAACTGCAGGATGTGGGTAAATTTGAGGTATTTTTTATGTTTCCTTTCTATTTAAAACCAAACATGTCCAATGCTGTCCTAGTAACACAATCAATAACAAAAATCTAGTTACATTTTATTTTAAATAAACACCGATTTTATTCATTAGTTCATTCATTCATTCATTCATTCATTCAAAAGATGCTCATACTTGATGTTTGCTGTAGCAGCCATCCGTTTAAGAGTTCATCTCTCTCGTCAGTCTCTCAGGCAATCTCTGCGTTGTTGTCCTGTTTCTCTTGCAGAAAATCCCGGAAAGGCAAGAGTAAAGACCGAACGAGAAAGCGAAAGAAAAACCGTGACAAAACAATTCACGACGCGTACGTCAGCTCCGCCTTCTCCACCTACCTGCACCTGAGTGTTGCGCTTCTCATAATTAAGCTAATATGGGAGGAGCTGTTTTGCCCTTTTTAATTTGTACCATTTAATTGACCCATCGGCCATTTCAGTGAGCATGTCGCTTCCGTCTGTTGTCCTAACTTTGTCTCGTCAGCCATGCTTTACAAACTGAACAGCAATCGAGTAAACGTTGGTAGAGGATTTTTGCTTAAAAAAAAGCTTCTTCTAAACTTTATTTAACAATAACCAGAGTGAAGTGTAGAAGAGTTTGCAACATTAAAAAAAGACGTCTCAACCTTTAAAAATGATCAACTGATCGGAGCACATTGTTTGAAGAAATGTGCACGAGACTGGACCAGTGATTGGGATGGAAATTTACAGATCAAACACCTTGTTCCGTCATTAGCAGAATTGATTTATTGACACGTTTAAAGAAGCCCGAATGAACAGATCTTAGATCAGCTGTTAGATGTAACCTGAACCTTCTACTGCAACAGATCCATGGACGTAATTTTGGGGGGGGGACAGGGGGGACATGTCCCCCCCCCCCCCCCCCCACACACTTTTTCCAAAGTCAAGTTTTGACCCCTGCACTTTTTACCATCGAAAAACAATATTACGCTATATTAAATTGACACTGGTTGAGCTCTAGGACCAAGTGGAAAACAACCATTTGTGTTGAAGCCTGTTTCCAATTAGAGCATACTGTAAAGATACACCCCCCCACCCCCCCCACCCCCGTGTCCCCCCCCACTTCTAAAGTGAAAATTACGTCCATGAACAGATCACAGATGCACCAGCATGGCTTTAGAGACCAGCTCGTACTGTCCTGTTATCTGTGCCGGGATCACCAAGACTGTAATCAGGGTCCTTGCCTTCCGTGTTGAGTCTGTGCTGCTTTGCTGTGTCTCCTTGCTTTTCTTTGCTCGTTTTCATCTCTAAAACTGTTTTTGTTGCCCCCGTGCCGAATGCCGGTACTTTTATGTAACGTGAAGATACGAGTGATCACTATCAGTTGCTCTTTTTATTGCAAGTACTGTTTTGTGTCTTTGTTTGCCCTTTTTTTGTGTGTGTCCGAAAGCATTAAAATAACTTATATTTTATTTTAAACTAATATTAAGATGACCTCATGTACTATGTCTGTAAATGTTCATTTGTAAATTGTATATTAAGATGTCCGTGGAATATCTGAGCCTTTTTTTTTTCTGTTTTTGAATCTTATGTCTTTTCTGTGGAAAAACACAAGTCTTCAGTTTTCACTCAATAAAATGAAATTGTTGTTAACGGTACACCAAACAGACCCTTGAGTCTTTTTTACGAGGAAATGAACCTTTTTGTAAGAGTGAGAGCGAGAAGTGTGCTGTCTTTAACGTGCAACTTGAAGTCACTGTGTGTCGTTTTGTGTTGCATGACACGGCCTCGAGCTTCGCTCACTGCATGCCTAACCCAAGGTATTCGTAAGTGGTCCGGTCTTTGTGCAAGGGATGAGGGGTGGGGTGTTTCTGTGGGAACCTGTGTGCAATGCTACCCTAGTATAACACACAAGGCAACCTGGTGGAAGAGCAAACGGGGGTACATAAAATAGTTGACCTTAGGGTGACCTATCACCGGTGATGATAGTACCCTGTTATAATCTGCCTCTCCCTCTTCCTCCCCATCTCTTGTCCGTCTCTGTCTGTCCAGTGTCTGTGAGCCGTGTTGTGATAGCTGCACAGAGAGGAGAAAGCGTTTGTTTGTGCAGGATCCCGCAACCTGCCGGTGCTCCTGCAAACACACAGTTGAATACTGTAGAGATCGCCAGCTAGAGCTCAACGAGAAGACCTGCAAGTAAGCGCTACTGGTGGCTCTGAACTCCAGTTAGATGGCAACTGTAATAACACAACTAACTAAACATTCAGCTGTGTTGCAACTCGGTAGTGGCTACTGTTGTCGGCTCGCTACCCCTTGTTTCCATTGGACGCCGTAGCGCCAGGTTCCAGCTGCCGCCTGGTTTTGTTGCATTCTTGTTGTCGTTCCGTTTGACACCAGAGGAGCTCTTCAGAATTGGGACATGTCCACGGTAGTCAAGCTAAACAACATCATCTGTGTGTTTTAGGGTATCTAATAGCTTGCCACTTGCCTTCTACTCCAAAAACTCCAGAAGGTAAATTCCACAACTTGTCCTCTCAAGTGTTTCTTGTATAAAAAACAAACAAACTGAGTCACATGTTCATCAGCCGATGAGTCTCCCGTTGTCATGTAAATGTCCAAGTCCTTTTGATTTTAATCCACCATCTTTCTCTTTCGGCTTCCCCCCATCAAGGGTTGCCGCAGCGAATCATCTGTCTCCATTTAGTCCTTTTGATTTCAATCCACCGTTTGCATCAATTTCGTGAGTCTGGAAGCAGTTCTTTTTATGATAACTGACAGGACTCGTTTATTGTGTGTGTCTGGATTTCTTTCCAACTCATTCAGTCTGTCCGGGCAATCATGACAGGGTACAGAGGAATGCGTTCCAGTGAAAACAAGGGGTCAGACTTAGCAAGGCAACATAGCATTTCACTGTTTGCATTTCATTTTCTTCTCTACACTCATTCCTTGGAATATTTTTACAAGCCTACTGTCTGAAAGGAACCTGAGTGTAATGTGCACACCGGTATAATGCTGACTAATGTTCTGTCTCAGCAAATTTGACTAAATTAAATAAGGGTGTTTCTTGCCGGCAGTAGCTTTCTTATAATAATTTAATGAATAAGTTAAAGTTGTGTGAAAAGAGTTGCTTTCACGCAAAATAAATAGATTAAAGATTAGCGGAAAGGCACAAAATCTAACAAAAAGGAAAGCTAAAATCTTATATCTTATACGTTCATAGTAGGAGTACACCAATATATCGGTCGGCCGATTAATCGGGCCAATATTTGACTTTTTTTTAAATATCGGCATCAATCAATACACCACCTTACTAACGCCGATTTAAAGTCAGGCACATCCCTGGGCAGCAGAATTTAACTGAAGTGTATTTTTACATTCTTGGAACAACATCTGCTTTAATAAATGCTCAAAAATAATTTCCAACAAAAAAGTTTTTACCCATTTTAAATATTTTATACTTTGTCAGTTTCCTGATTTGTTTGATTAACTTTTGATTGATGTCTGATTTTAACACTAGGCAGTGCACGAAATGAAGATTTAACAGCTGGTTAAATTCTGCGATCACAAACGGATTCAGCTTCTGAAATTTAGTGACATTTTAGCATGAGAACAAAGTGAAAAACGTCCAGATGTTGGCCCAAAATATTGGCAGTACAAATCGACCAGTGGCTGACCGTGACCTTTAGATATCGGCATCAGAATCAGCAATAGAAAAACCAATATTAGTCAACCACTAATTCACAGTACATAATACTAGTTAGAATAGTTTAAAAAAGCAAAATATAATGGGCCATTCCCATCTGTACCGGGTCGGCCCGGGCCGGGTAGCGTAGGTTGTTTACATATCTGGGTGGCCTGGTATTTTTCCGGGCCAACCAAGGCTTATTCTCAGCCCTCTTCTCGAGGGGGTCTGCTTCAGGCCGACCAGGGCCAACACACCCACTGCTGACAGCAAATTCACACCTTCCATTAGAGCAAGCCTCTGATTGGTGGGTAGAATCAGCCCACATGGGCTTAAGGCAAGGATGTGTGGAATCAACCGGGCCAGGCTGGGGCCGACTGGGGCTACCCGGCCCGGGCCGACCTGGTACAGATGGAAATGGCCCATTAATTTTCTTGAAATCTGTTGCTAACCTTAACCCTAGCCATCCCGTCAGCCAGTTTAGTTTATCATTAAAACTCTCCCCTAATTTGCTTGTAATCAAAGACGTATACGGAAAACATTTCAATTCACTGCAGTAGCCGCTGACTTAAATCAAGCCCGTTGACGTGCGTTCTTTGGAAAACAACCAAAAAGCCAAATTTGGGACTTTAAAATGGTATTTGAACTAACACAGTAGCATCATCCACTGTCTATAAATAACTCCATCTTTGGTTGCAGATGATATAAGCGGAGTGGCTCACACGGTCTCCGTCACCAGCCCTGTGCACACGTGTTTTATGATCAGTTTCTTTCCAGTGCTCGCTCCCTCTCCTAATCATTTGATCTTTCTTGTCTTCTCTTCCTGTTAAGATGTGACAAGCCGAGAAGATGAGAGCGGCGGCAGCACCAGATGTACAAGATGAAGGAATATTCTAAAGATATTTCACAGCACAGCACTTTGACTTTTGAACCGTAAGCTATTTTCTGTGGAAAGCATTCCCCTTGGTCTGACAAAGAACAAAGAGATGGACTGAAATTTCTTCCCTCTGTATATCTGCGTGTACATAGACCATTACAAGAAAAAAAAAGACAGAATTTTTATGCTGCTACAGAAACGAATGACTAAACCCATCATTTGACTAAAAGCGAAGTAGCTGCCTCATGGCTTTGCATTTCTAACAGGCTTGCGATGCAGGTGTAGTCTTATTGCCAGCTCATTGTGTGCAGTTACTTCACTGGATATGAGTCTACTGTGGTTGTGTGTCAGTCATAACAAGCAAAACCTCTAGATGTATATTTAACTAATAAATCAGCGGGCGGGACGAAAGAAGACGTGGGCATGCCCTTCTTCGGTTGACGGATGGACCTCTGTTTGCCGGCGTCCGCTTACACCTTCGGAACAAAATGAGACACTTTTGACAGCCGATGGAGATCCGTCTCTGCTTGAGACCACATCCTTCCCTCTGAGGACATCACAGGACTAACGTGGACTCGAAGTCGCTGTCTGGATCAGAGGAGACTCGGGGAGCGACGGTGCCATACACTTAAAGGGATACTGGTCATCGGTTGTAGCGTTCATTGTTAAACTACAAGAAAACCACTGAAAATATCATATACTGTAGTTTGATTCCAGTTTAAATCTGTGCCTGAGAGATCCGCCGAGTGCTTTTTAAATTATTTCCTGACAAGAGGAGATTGTCAAAGTAGTTTCTTTATGGCGACACAAAAAATCTATTGATTATCATACATTTTCTTTTCTGACCTGTAAATACTGAATATCCCTTTAAGCCATTTGTCCATTCTAGATAATTATAATGTTGTAGATTATTTTACAGTATTCATCAGCCGTCTACACATATTTAATTTGATCTATTTATGTATGCTGTGTTATGTACCCATAGATGCCCCCCCCCTGTGTTTAAGGTCACTGATGGCTACTTTCAGCACGGCTCTCTGTGCTTTTATATGAAACAAGAAGTCAAAGATGATTTGCTAACATTCCCTGAATGGATCATTTGTACCAATGTACTGATGATGTCTCCTTTTGTCGACCCCCGTCACGGGGTGCCATGTGGAACTGTAACTTTTGTGTGTGTGTGTGTGTGCGGTACAATGTGTGCACGAGCGAATGTGTTCATCTGCCTTTGCTACATGCACAACTGTGTAGGTGTAAGAATATTGTATTTAAGTATTTAAAGAAAGTCGACCTGTGTTTTGTCCGTCATGCAAGATGCAAAATAACTACTGCTAGACGCGGGTGTAAACGCCACAACGCCACCAGGATTCTAAATTTGGACAACAAATCATTCTGTCTGCCATCAGCCTCTGTTATTAGTCATCTTCTCCACTATTAACATGTTTTCTTTTTCTGTGTCTATGTAAAACAGTAAGCATATTTATTTTTGAATCATATTGTTTTTATATAAAACAAGGAAAAGGTTGCTGTGTTGTGTTTCCATGCAACTTGAGATGTTTTTATTCTCTCTCTCTCTCTCTCTCTCTCTCTCTCTCTCTCTCTCTCTCTCTCTCTCTCTCTCTCTCTCTCTCTCTCTCTCTCTCTCTCTCTCTCTCTCTCTCTCTCTCTCTCTCTCTCTCTCTCTCTCTCTCTCTCTCTCTCTCTCTCTCTCTCTCTCTCTCTCTCTCTCTCTCTCTCTCTCTCTCTCTCTCCTCTCTCTCTCTCTCTCTCTCTCTCTCTCTCTCTCTCTGCAGAGAAAGTAGAAATGCCTGCACACTTTTTCACGACAGGCAGACAGATATCCAGTCATTTAGATAAACACACACTTTGGGAACGTGTGCAGTAATTTCATCTTGTTAATCTAATTATAGTTATTAGGCACTAATGAATTTTCTTGGAATTAGAATCTTTTGTTTTTAAAGAATTATGTAAGAGCTAAAGAAAAAAAAGTAACTGGGCAAAAACGTGTTTCCAAAAGGAAGAATTTACAAAAAATGAATGTTTAGATCTTGTAGATCTTTGAAAGCAAAGTTTTTAAAATAACTAATATTAAAAACAAAGCTTGAGGCTAAAACCAGATATCTAATACATATTATGAACTGGAATATGTAGGGAAAAACAATTTAAATAGAAATATCATAAGACTTCCATGAATTAAGAGATGATTATTTTGACACATGACCGCTTTCACCTTGATGAAATGTCAAAAATTATCTTATTTCCTCAACTTCTTTGTTACCTGATTGGAAAGTGTCAAATGGAATTTAATATGAGACAAAAAAAAAACCCAATACTTAAAATGTGTGTTGAAGTCGAAAGTTAGCACTCAGTCTATGATTTATAAAAATATTTAGGCTACTGTAGAAATTTGCTTTCGAATTCTGGTAGATTCAAAACATAATGAACTTCTAGACCCAAAGGATACCGGTGCACTTGGACTTGGACTTGGACCTTCCAAGGTCAGTTTTTGTCCCCTGCACTTTTTACCATCTAAAGACAATATTCCGCTATATTACATAGAAATTGGTTGAGCACTAGGACCAAGCAGAAAACAACTGCTTGTGTTTCCCATTAGAACCGTCCATATGCCCATCTCTTGGCTCCACTGATAAGCCTGGTTTATGCTTCTCTGTCAGCTCCGCAAGGGACAGACACGCACGGATTGACGGAAGCGTTTTGCTCTCATACTTCTCCGTCTCCTGGAGAGTGTTGCAAAGCAATTCCCCGGCAGGACAACAGAGGGCGTAGCGCTGTTCTGTGGTATCCTGTCATGTATCGGTCCAAGATTGTGTGTTTATATTGTGTTTTTTGTGTGTATAAGAGACTTTTAACACGGACATATTTGTCTCTCATTCTCCCACCGCTTCATGCGCTCCCCACCTCTAAACCCACGTTTCCTGTCATTTCCGTCCACAAATAAAACGCTTGCTGCGCATCTTTTCACTCCTCCAGTCACGGGAGGACTAAACGTTCATATTTTTAGAGTTTTTTCGTGAGGTATTCTTCAAGCTTCTCCGTGTCTGCCGCTAGTAAAACTTGGCTCTATTTGCAATGGCGGCGCTGTAAACAACAGCGGCGTCCTGACCAATCACAAGCTTGCGTAATCCGTCTCGTTCGACGGATGTTTAAAAAAGTGGGCTCGACTCCGTACGTACTTGCGTGCCTGCCGGATCCCTACGCAAGGACGGATAATGGCGTTGCGTGTGCTCCGCACTGACGCAGACGGAGAAGCATAAATCAGGCTATACTTGCTAACGTGTGATTGGCTGTTCCTGCCACCTGTGTACTTGACAGTTCTGCATTACCGACGCTGCATAAAAGAATCTCTAGGCTGTAGTTTTACACATATTTTTGTACACTTACTGTAAAGACCCCCCAACCCCCGTTCCTCATGTTGGCTGTGGCCCCCCTACTTCTGAAGTCATAACTACGTCCATGCATGCAGCTTATTATGATGTCACATTTTCTCTTTTTGAATCCATACTAGTTTTGGATTTTGTGATGCAAGCTGCCAGTTAAAATTAGATAAATAAATATGTTATATTGAAACATCGCTCTTGTGCTAAATGAGCAAAATAAGAAAGAGAGATTTAACCGTGGCATTTTAATTACTGTGACCTACCCTTAAAGACGGTTTATTCTGGTATGTACTGGTCAGTTCAGCCATTTGGATAAAAACTAAAGACGCCTACCCTGTTGTGCTTTTAAAAGTGCCTCAGCTGGACCAGATTCACACAGAAACAAGGTCTCATCTGTTTAAACGCTAACAAGAATGTTGAAATTGGTGTTTTCAAACTAAATCAATTTACATAGTTACTAAAGCCAAGTTATTGTACTGTTGAAGTGGTGCTGATGCAACAGGCTGCGACTGTTGCACAACGATCACTTCTACCAACACAAGCACAAAATACTTCCTCTTACGGTGATCGTATGCAGCACTCTGGTGCGTGAAAATCATTCACAATCAGGAACTTGTGACGTAAACAACCCTTCAACACATTTCCCTAAATCGCCAGCATCTGATGCAACACACTTGTGACTTCTGCCCCACCTGTAGGCACAGTCCCAGCTACCTGTTTAAACAAAATTAGAGTTTCTGGTTTGACGGCTCCTTAGCGTCTCATGGTATTTACAAGGCAGAGATCTTTTTGGGGAAATCCAAAACGGTTTAACCGGAATTTAGCTCCTGGGAATAGGATTCCGAATTTAATTCATTATTTCCTTCCGCCTCATGACTCGCTTTCTTCTCACAGTGGCACTTACTTTGGAAATGTTGGTGTCATTGCATATTTTTCCCATGTGTTCCACTGCAAATGTTAGGTCCAAAGGCTTGTTCTGAAACTACTTCTTCTCTGCTTGGCTTTCAGAACAGGGTTAGAATCGCGGCGTGAAATGTCCTGAAAGGCAACAAATTTGTCTTTGCTCTTCCGCCAACCCAGAGGCGCGTTGTGGAGGAAGCAGCCCAAGCAGAGAGGCCCAGACTTCCCTCTCCCCAGCCACTTGGGCCAGCCCTTCCAGGGGAATCCCAAGGTGTTCCCTGACCAGAAGAGAAATAGTCCCTCCTCCATGTTAATAATCATTTCTGATTATAATCAGTCAATGTGAGTTTTTCATGCAGGCTGAACTTGAAAATAGTCTCCTACACCTGTCTCCTGCATTAGCTTGTGATAGAAACACATACCGTGAAACGCGAGGATTTGAAAATCTTGACATATTTACATCACACTGCCACTGAACATTCATGGACTCAACCATCTCTCGTCGTATTTTATGTCAGAAGCTGTAAATTTACAAAAATCTTTTGGAAACAAAAATTTCTTAAAAATGCTATATGGAACCCTAAAAAATCAGTCCATGGGCCACAAATGGCCGGCCTCTGGGCCTCACTTGGGGCATGCTTTACAATCCTTCCCTTGTCACCTGGCTGCATTTATCCCACCAACAGCTACGACACTGGAGCGGTCGCTGTGGTAAATCTAACCCTTATGAATGCAGATTAAGTGGAGGCTTTGGAATCTTAGGGTACGTTTGTTTGGGAATTTTTCCCCACTTAGCCTCACTAGCTTGCTGTTTTCTGCTGGATTAGCTTCAGTGTGGTGCTAATACTGCTGAGCAAGAGCTCTCCCTGCTCTTTATGTGCATACCTTAATATAAAGAACACCATCTAATCCCTGTAAATAATTGTGGGGGGCCCCTTCCCCTGGGTGAAACACCCCTAAGAATGCCATAAACCATCTAATCTGTGATTTGTCTTGAAACCAGAATGTTGCATGGTCTGTCTGGCAAGTTCTCTGAAAAGTGCTGATTTAATATCGGACTAAAACGACCAATGTAGTCTGTTGCTATCAGATTTCCACTGCAACATGTTTGGGATCCCCTACCGACTAGAAAACTCGTTACAATCTTGATTTGAACAGGATTTTAGTCACTTAATCATAAGACAATGGAAGACTGAACATTTTGCAATGAAAAACATTATCTTCTACATAACCTTTGACAAAATACAAATCAACCTAATTAAAGATGGCTGCCATCCCTAAATTCAATGGACTGTGCAGAACGTGTGGTAAAATTTGAGCATCATCCCCAACATAATGGAGTGCTAATGGATCAGTCCAGGTCTTGTGGAACTGTAACGTTGTTTTCAAGATTTCATCAAACTTCGTTATTTTCCGCCATAAGATGATTAGTTTGAAACCCTGGCATTAGAAACAACGTTCCTAAACAGGAATGCTGCTTTTTAAATAAATTTACATTTTAGCAAAGTGAATATTAAGAAGGAAACATTTGCAACCAAGAGTGCATAAAAAGGAAAACCAGTTGGGTGTAAACAGGACGTCTAGTACACCAGTGATGTCTTCCAAAAGCCTTATCGATTAATAATCATCTTTTTGATCATTTTGCCAATTTCACTTACTGAGCGGGCGTTGTGTCGGTCAGTGACAGACTGAAAGGAAACTTTTTCAAAGGAAGCTGAAAACTGGAGAAACTACTCATAACCACGATCCCTGACAGTTCAGCCCATTTAAAGAAACCCAAAGCAACCACCGCTTCATGGTTTTTATTCACACAGTCCTTCTTTTTATACCACTGCTGCCTTTTGGGGGCTGCGCAGTGGTTAGAGCTGTTGCCTTGCCCGGGATCTTTCTGCATGGAGTTTGCATGTTCTCCCTGTGCATGCGTGGGTTCTCTTCGGGTACTCCGGCTTCCTCCCACGGTCCAAAAACATGACTGTTGGGTTGATTGGTCTGTCTAAATTGTCCCTAGGTGTGAGTGTGTGTGTGTGTGCATGATTGTTTGTCCAGTGTGTCTCTGTGTTGCCCTGCGATGGACTGGCTCTCTGTCCAGGGTGTACCCCGCCTGATTGCCCGTTGACCGCTGGAGATAGGCACCAGATAGGCGGGTTCAGAAAATGGATGGATGGATGGATGGATGCTGCCTTCTGCATTGGGCATTTAAGTCCACTTAAGTATGTCCTAGCCAGCT